GAGAGAATCTGATGGCCGTGGTGGGAGAGCTCTGATGGACATAGTGAGAGAATCTGATGGCCGTGGTGGGAGAGCTCTGACGGATGTAGTGGGGAAATCCTGATGCGTTGAGGACAGCCTTGATGGATGTGGAGAGAGTACTGATGGACATAGTAGGGAGAAGTCTGATGGATTGAGGACAGCCTGGTATAAGGAGGATACCTGTGGTGGGAGGGGATGCATCCTTTGTATCTCCTTTCTTGACAGATGAGGGAACCCTAAGTTGAATTGGGTGTGCAGTACCCATTGGGGCCGTGGACATCTTGCTCACTGACTCGGTCAAGGGTGGAACTTTGAGAGCCCACACCCCTGGGGTGACTGTGTCCCCGGGCAGGGAGCCTGATCTTTTCATGGGGCATGCTCTAGGCAGCCCGTGGAGGTGCTGTGTTTGCTAGGTTACCTCCTGTTGGAGAGAGACCAGTGCCTCTGCTGTGTGGGGCCAGCTGTCCATCCACCGTGGCACGTCCGTCATCCACCGTGGCACGTTACCCTGGAAAGCTCGGGCAGTTGGGCTCCTTGGTTGCGTCAGAGCAGATGCTTTGTGCCTAGCGTCACCACAAGAGCCCCAGAAACACCACATGGTGCTGGAAATTGGGGAGCTTTTTCTCTGGCACCACGGGGACCCCTCCTGTGGGACGGGTCTGTGAGCGTCTCTTTCTACCTGTACAGGTACTGCGCCCCGGTGTGCTGTGGTTCCTGCGGAACCTGAACGATCCTGACTTTAACCCGGTGCAGGAAATGATCCACTTACCCATCTACAGGCACCTACGGCGGTTCATCCTGTCTGTGGTGAGCAGGCTGCTGGCTTGTAGGCGTACAGCAGAGCCGGAGCTCCCCCGTGGTGGGAGACTGGAGGGTGGACGGGGTCCCTGACGGCGGAGACTGGCGGACGGATGGAGATCCCCAACGGTGGGGACTGCTGGACGGACGGGGATCCCTGACGGCAGAGATTGCTGCACGGATGGAGATCCCCAACGGTGGGGACTGCTGGACGGACGGGGATCCCTGACAACTGAGACTGCTGGACGGACGGGGATCCCTTACAACTGAGACTGCTGTACGGATGGGGATCCCTTACAACTGAGACTGCTGGACGGACGGGGTCCCTGACGGCGGAGACTGGCGGACGGAGGGGGATCCCTGACAACTGAGACTGTTGGACGGACGGAGATTCCCGACAGCGCAGACTGCTGGACGGACGGAGATTCCCGACAGCGCAGACTGCTGGACGGACGGAGATTCCCGACAGCGC